TGTCACCCACAGCTCTCTCCTAGGCTGATCAGTGTCCTGCATGAGCTGTCTACTTGCCAAACTCCCTGATTTGGGCATGTTAATCTCATCTGCATCTCGAGCACCTCAGCAGAATGCTTGGCACAGAAGAAATACATATTTGAGCCTTTATATCCAATAGAAGAATTCATTTTATTGAGCATCTACTATGTGCCAGGTATTGCTCAAGAGCTGGAAATATGGCATGAATGAAGTAGACTACATTCCCTACCTTCGTGAGGTTCACATTCTACTAGGACCAGAACATAATTGGATGAGTTATATATATTCTATCAACCAGGCAGTGTCCTGAGAAGAGAGGATGACAGCAGGGAGCAAAGAAGCAATAGAATGTGGCAGGACTAGGCAGGTGACAAGGGCCGAAGTCTGGCTGCCCTCACCCTCCCCACCACCACCCTGCTCCTCCTCCCACTCGCCCATCTCAGTCTGGACACCAGTAGGGTTTCTCCCTAACCCCCCTGCTCGCCTCTGCTTCATTCCATCCCACTGCCCCTACACTGGCCCAGGCCGCCACTGTCACTGGCTAGGGGACCAGCCGCAGCTGCCTGCCTATGTCCCTACCTCCAAGTTTGGGTCTTCCTTCCGTATCCTACCAGCCTCCTTCACGCTGTTTCTTATGCTCCAACTTCCCCCTCCATGGCCAGGCGCTAACCTAAAACATTTCCTATCACTGTCTTAGGATCAGCCACATTGAAGGCTTTTTTCCCTTCCAACCAGCCAATCATCTTTTCTCATGCTCCTGACCTTTACACAAGCCATTCCCAGTTTGCAGCATCTGTGCTCTTCCCAGCTCCCTCCGCCCACCTACCCACACCTATGTGGCCTGGCTTCCGCCTCTTCATTCCCACGCCTCTGTTTAAATGTCCTGTCCTCAGGAAAGACGCCTCTCACTCCCAGTCTTGGTTTGCTCTCCTGATGTGAGGCCGCAGCGCCCTTCATCTCATCCACTCCACCTCTGTGTGGCCCTTCCTAAACAAGCTGTCTTTTCCGCCTGCTTGTCTGCAGATCCCTGGGGGCAGTGACTATGTCTACCTTGCCCACCATTGCCAGGAACAAGCACACACCTGACACGTAGTAGGTGCTCAGTTCTTTAAATGAATACATGAGTGACTCAACTGCGGACTTCTTGCCAGTAGTACTTGAAGCGGTGCCGAGTGTTCAAGCTCTGCTGCTCATCTTACTTGGGAGATGACCTTGGGACTTGGTGTTTGACCTCTCTGAGACTTTGTTATCTCGCCCATAGCAGAAGTTATTAACACACATGTGGCACATTATTGGAAAGTCGGGTGTGGGTGTCTGTGTGTGAATATGCCTGGCTCCTAGGAGTTACTCCCTAGAGCTTGCAAATCCGAGTGCTAAGTCAAAGGTCTTGATGCAAACCATGAGCCAGAAAGCTCACGTCTTGGGTCAAGACATAGTTTTTCAAGGCAGGATCTGGATTTGACTCATAGCTCTGCCACTCACTAACTGGGCAACCTTACGCCAGGTACTTAAACCCTTACGTGACCCAGTTTCCTCATCTGTAAGATGGCAATAGTGAGGGTACCCGTCTGCTAGGACAGTTGCAGGATTCAATTGGGTCCGTGCCCCATGCCTAGGTCAGTGCCACACTGCAGATGCCCAATAACTGTTAGCTGGTGTCATTGTCATGAGAATGTAGCCCTGACAACCATGCCATTTGCTCTTATTCCTGGTCCTCCTTGATAGGTGAAGAGATGAGTTTCCAGAGAGGTTCAAGGTCAAACAATGAGGAAATGGCAGCTTTGTGCTTCAAGGCCAGGTCTGCTGCGCCCAAATCCCATGTTATTTCCACTCCATCAAAGGAGCAGCTCAAAATAGGCCTGTGGCATTTCGGCTAATTTCCTCTAAGCCCTTCCCAAGTAACAAGCCGCAGGCACACAAAGCCGCTCCCCTAAGAGCATCCCTACTGCAGCCACAAAGTACTCACACCTGGTGGGTCCCAAGCATCTAGCAGGGCTTGGGCCAAGCTGGCTCTTTCCAGGCAGCCCTGCCTGGTATGCAGAAAGAACCTATGGAGTCCAGCTAGCTGGGAAGGGGCAGGGAGTGGCACAAGGGTTCCACAGAAGAAGAGGCTGGAGACCATTCTGGGTATAAAAAGGAGAGAAGAAATGACAGAAAATTCACCCTTGTTGAGTGCTCCCTATTTGCCAGGCCCTTCACCTGTTTTATACCATTTAGTCCTCACTGTAACCACTCGACCTTTATCAAGCATCTACTGTGGAGCCAGCCCTGTGTTCAGTTTCAAACACATCATGGTGAGCAGGACCCAGCTGTTGACCCCAGAGGGCTTCCAAGGCAGTGAGGGAGAGAAGGTAGGCACACCCAAGTTCAGTAACTGCAGTGGCAGAGGGCTGGGTATGGGACCAGGCAGTTCAAAGCAAAGAATAGTGGGGAAGTCTCAGAAAGGAGTAGACAGGTATCAAAGGGCCCATTTTATATCTGATGAAACTGAGGCTATGAATGGCCAACTGGTTCGAAGTCCTACAATCCCCAAGTAGCAAAGTGAAGCTGAGGCCCCAGGTCTGTTCTATATCCAGAAATCTCCTCTTTCTCCATGCTGGTAGCGAAGGACTTGCTACTTCCTCCCTCTTCCCCTGTCCTTTTCTCAGTGGTGATCTGGATAGATGAATGAAAAGCTGCTAACGCTGCAGCCACTGTCTGTGGCTCAGAGGCTTACAGGTTCTGCGGACAGACAGTTTTCTGAGCTTCTGCTGCTGTTTGTTTTACATTTTGTTTTTCAGGGCAAAAGTTTCAAGGCTTGCTCTGAAAGGGGTAGGAATGAGAAGAAGACCTCTGTCTCTAGTCTGGAACCTACTGGACAGGTCAAAGGCAGCCAAGGTGACAGCCATCAGTGTGGTCAAGCGTGTGGTGACACCCAGCGGCTCCTCATTCCCCAAAAGGCCGAGGTGACTTCAGAGCCCTAAGTGCCAACCCCTCATAGCTTCCTCGAGGACAGTAGCCAAGGAAGTCATCTTCATCCCCACACACCCCCACCCCACCACCGAACTGCCAGCTTGCCTGCCCAGTCAGGTCAGTACACCAGCCACTCCCCATCCCAATTCCAGCTGCAGAGACAAGAAACCAAAGCAGAGAAAGCATCAGCTGCAAACATAGCCCTTATCAGGTGCTGCAGAGGACCTGGTTCTGTTCCCCAGACAACAGGACTCTCCCAGGCCCAGAAACCTAGCAATCTCCCTTTGAAGGAGTCCTTCCTCCTGACAAAAGAGCAAAGTGGGAGAAAGTGAACTTCCATGCAGGGCGGAGAAACAGGTAGTTTTTCCATGACTTAAAGGAGACACTGGCTGGACCTGCAGACCCACTGTTTCCCGAGCTGAGGGAAGGAAGTTAGGCACCAGGCTTTGCACCAACAAAAGAAACTTTTTAAATTCAGTCATCTGTATATTTTTTGATAATCATTAGATCACTGAGAAATTGTCAATCAAATTATCTCAAGAAAGTATGGAGTAACTGAGTTAGGAGACTGAAAGATCTCTAACCACCCCCGGGGGACCCATCAGACTCCCACCTCTCTCCAGCCCCCCATTATAGACTTGCACCCACATTATGCCTCATCTACTCTGCTTCACTTAACTACGAAACTGATCAGAGAAAGAATGTAATCAGCAGCAATCAACGTGCTTCTTTTTTCCCAGGGTCTCAATAAGGAAAGGGTGCACATAGAAAAACAAATAGTCTCGCTGTAATTACCCCAGGATAACGGTGCAGCTGAGCCAGAGGGGCTTATATGCTTTGGTGTTCAGAGCAGGGAGTTGGTTTTTTTTTTTTTTTTTTTTTAATCTCTTCCAGTCCCATTTATGAATGACAGGGGAAACTTGGAAGAATTCACATTTCACCCACTTCTCCTGCAAACATGTTTAGCCTTGAGATGAAAAATCATGGCCCAGGCCCCAGTTACCCGTCACCCTTTCTCACCCCTCTTCCATGAATAATCTTTCCAAAATGTCTGCTGTAGAAACAAGATTTAGAATTTCACGCAAAGCCACAGAGAGACAGACAGTGCAGTCAGTGCTCACTCCCTGCAAGCCACAGAGAGACAAAGAGACGAGAGAGGTGCAACCAAAAAGGAGATGCATCTACTGAGCCAATAAAACAAAACAAATAGCCCGAAAAGCAAAGTGGAAAGGGTGATTAACACACACACACACACACACACACACACACACACACACACGGCTCTTAATTACCCACTTCCAGGCAGAGAAACGGCTGGTTGAAGTTTTGTGCCCGTCTGATTGTGATGGGAGGGTTGTATTTGAAGCTCTGGGCACGTAGAGATGGAATGAGAAGGAGGCTGAGCTGGAAGAAACACCAAGCGGGGGGAGGGAAGGGGAGAGAGAGGGAGAGGGAGAGGGAGAGGGAGAGGGAGCCAGCGATCTCTAGCTACGCCTTCCTCTAAGCTCCCGGAGCCCGGGAGAGCGCTCATTTTAGGACTGAGGAGAGGAGTCCGAGGAAGCCAGGCGGCCCCCGCTCTGCCCGGCCCGGCTGCCCCCGGGGACCAGGACTCCGGCCCGCGCGCCCCTCCAGCCGGCCGCGCAGCGCTGCGAGCCGCGGAGCGAGCGCGCAGAGCGGGCGCGCGGGGAGCTGTCCAGTTCAGCACCACCGGTAATGCAGTAGGTGGGAGCGCTCCGCCGGGGGCGAGCCGGCCGCGAGGGGGGGCGGGCGGCCCATCCTGCAGCAAGACGCCGGCTCCCTCGACTCCGGGAGCTTTGCGGATAGGGGGAGGGAAACCCGCCTCGATTCTCCGGGAGAAACCCCTTCCCTCCCCCACTTCGCCAACACTACCCCAGCCACCAACAACAATAAGCGCCGCCGCCGCTCGTCCTGTCTCCGCCGCCGCCGCCGCCGCCGCCGCCGCACCTGCCCGCCCTGCAGAACCATGGAAGGCGAGACCCCCGCCGCCACGCCGCTGAGACCCAGGGCTTACAGAATACTGGGAAGTCTGGTCTGAAACGAAAGCGCCCGAGACCCTCGCCAAGCAAGAGAACTGGCCAAGCCAAGGATTTTCATGGCGCAGGCCGCAGAGCCGAGAACGAAGACGGAAGGGTGCATTTCGGCTCTTAAAATCTCTAACTGTCTAGGTCCCGACCATGAGAGATGGTGTTGAGAATTCGGCTGTTCCCTGGTTCACTGTGGAAGCCATCTCCAAATTAGCGATCACATATGGAAACTGGAGACCAGAATTTTAGGAAAAGAGATTAAAAAATCTCACTTGGGGGGTGGGGGTGTCTTTTTATTTCCCCCCTCCCCCTTTTTTTTAAACTCACTGCAACCGGAACAGTTTCTGATCCCAAAGGCAAGCCTCTCTTCCTGTGTGATCTTTATAATTTACACTCTTTTCCGTGAGCTTTCTTACCTCCCTTTTTTAAAAAATATCTCTCCATATCCTCTATTCACACATATATCCATTATATTAGTAGTGGAATTATATTTTAATTTTTTTTTTTTTTTTTTTGGCTTTAGTACTCGCACCCTCAGACACACTCTTCCGAGAACCAGAAGTCGGTTGGGTGTTTATATAATGAAGAATAATGGGGCTGTTTGATCGAGGTGTTCAAATGCTTTTAACCACCGTTGGTGCTTTCGCTGCCTTCAGCCTGATGACCATTGCTGTGGGAACCGACTATTGGCTCTACTCCAGAGGGGTCTGCAAGACGAAAAGTGTCAGTGAGAACGAAACCAGCAAAAAGAATGAGGAAGTTATGACCCATTCTGGATTATGGAGAACGTGCTGCCTTGAAGGTATTTGATTTCCCACCCCCTCCCCCCCCGCGCCCCCCGCCCCCCCCCCCTCCCCCCGGCCCCTCCCCTCCCCTCCACACTCCCCCTCCCCACCCTCCTCCAAATAAGTCCCCTGTACATTCCACCATTTTCTTACTTCACTCCCTCCACCACAGATCGAGGTTGGTTGGGTTAGTTTCAGAGGAAAGGAAATCAATCAGCAAAAACCATACTCCACTCTCTGGCCTCCACCCCCTCCCTCTCCCCAAACCTCTCCATTGGAATCTATGATCTGGTGCGAACAGCAAGAGAATGTCTTTAAAGTCAAATGGGCTCTGCCTGCTTCGGAATCATTAGGATTTGCCTTTGGATTTGGCATTGCCATCTCTGGGGAGGGAAAATAATTGCTTCCCTTGATGCTGCTCATCTTTTCCTAGTGAAGAATTCAGAAATGTTCTTCCTTTTTCTCTCCTCTTCTCCTGACTCCCCCAAAAGTCCCAGACACATCGTCGTCTGCAGCAAATCTCCTTTCTTAAAAGAAAAAAAAAAAAATCTGTCGTTTCTAAGAATCCTTATTTGGTAAATCCTAATTATTCCAGGATCTCAAGCCGAGTTCAAGAGCATTTCGTAATGTCTATGAGCCACACATATCGGTCGAGGTGGTTGGCTGCATGTGTTATGTGTGTGTTTTAATGTTTACAAAGTCTAAAAATACATACGTCTCTCGGAGGAAACAAGCCCAAGTTCTAATAAACAGCAATTCACTTGCGGGTTAGGCTGAGAACCAGTTTGCTTCCACACAGAGTGACATGTCTGTTATCCAGAAGCAAGTCGAGTCAGCATTGTGCAGGCAGGCAGGGAGGAGGGAGGCGAGGGCATGGGGAGGTTGAGAGGGGAGAGGGGAGCAGTGAGGTGGGGTGTCAGCTGTTGGCCTTGATCTTGCAGGGTCGCTGAGGCGTGTATGCATGTGCCCCCGCCGTGTATAGGCTGGGAGACCAGGGCATGGATGAAGGCATGTGGTTCTGGGACACATTAATAAGCACAGAGGAAGAAAAAAGACTCCGCAGGTCATACAACCTGCATTTAGCAGCAGACTTTAATGTGCATTTGCATAGCTCTCTCCATGTGTATATGAGCCTCCCATAGGCAGACGGGCACAGAGCAATACATATGTTTCTGGGTGGGAAGAGAAGCTTGTGTGCCTTCCTTCTAATGCTGCGAACCAAGACCGGAGGCTGTTTGAGGCAGTGTCAGGAAGCGGGCACTGCAGGATTGTTTGTGAGCTCAACATGGGAGGGATGCAGGGAGTTGAGGCCAGGAGATGGGGAGAAGAGAGAGAAAGAGATGTGAGAGGGAGCAACTGGAGTGGCCCCAGGGTCTAACCCAAACTGAGCCGAGCTGCTCTTTGGGAAATGGTTACTTCTGGGAAAAAGCACACGTTATCTTCCCCCTCCCAATATTCTTGGTGCAAGCGGTTGAGTGATGGCCGAACATGTTTTGAATAGCTAAGTGACTTCATTGAACGATGGTCTATTTGACGCATACTGCATTTGGTGCCCTTTCTCAATCCAAGCCGCTGCCTTTAACATATTCTGCAGAGCAGCTCTATGCTGAATACTACATGCTCCTCCCCAGCCAGAGAGTCAATATGATGAAATTAATAGGGACCGTTTTCAACACATGCACACACACCCCTCCTTTGAAAAATGAAAAGCCTTTCACACTGCTAGTCATTAGCAGTGGAAAGACTATTTCCATTTAATTAAACATTTATGACAGTCTTTTATTCCAAAAGAGAAGGAAAGCAAAGTGAACGAGGGTTGCTTTAGGGAAGGGATCCTAGTGGTGATTTGCCTTCCTTGGATCTTAGTTAGATGGACGGAGATGTATAGCCAAGAGATTACAGGAAAGACAAGACATGACTTTAAGGGAAACATAATCAGATATAGCTGAGCTGGTATAAATATTCTCCTTGTATTGGGGCTTTATTTACCAATCCTTAATACTGTGATCTTTTAAACATCTCGTAATTCCCAGGAGACGAGAGGACTAGAGGTGGCTTTGGATCACTTGTGCATTAAAAGGCTTAAGCGTTTTCATTAAAATCCCATCTGTGTGAGTCGGCATACCCAAATGCACTGCGCGGCCCCTCTAACTTTCTCTCCAAGCTGCACACCCTGTCCCTCCCTGCTCATCCTTAAAGGGTTAGGGTCGCAACCCTTCCCAAGGGGCCTCCCTGGGTGCTCAGCCCTGGGGCACTTGCCTCCAAGTGGAGAGGGGAGGGCTGGCCAGGCTCTCTTTGGGGTTGGCTCTCCCTGTCCACATGTAGTCAAGGCCCAGGCTGGAAGGGGTAGCGCTCAGGGCCCCAGTTCAACCTGGCCTTCAATTTCCAAAGCCTCTGTTCATATGGGACTTGGCAGACCTCAGGCCACCAGGGGAAGCTGGGCCTTGGCCACTTAGGAAGTGGTCTGGAGATTTTAAACTGCTTATTTTCAAGCTGCATTGATTTCTGAAGGTTGTAAGTTCACTTACTTCTGGAAGTTGGCATAGTCGGTTCTCGGGGGGTTGTGGTATGCTGGCCTTTGTGGCCACTCAGTGTAGGCCTTTAGGGACATAAAGTTGCCAGTGTTTTAGGCCTCCTGGCTTGTGTTTTTTGGTGAGAAATTGGATTTTCCAAAAAGATTCTTCCATCACCTCTTTAAATGCATTTTCTGCCCGTACCCAAGAAGTTGTGAACAGATTTCAAATCTCTCAGAGAAGCTGCTAATGACTTCAGATGAAAAACAAGCCGTCTTTCTCTGATCTCTTCTGCTCTCTGGTTTTCATTAGGGCTTTTTGTCTCCTGAGATGATTATTTTCGTTCACCTCTTGATGAAAATAAGAATTGAGAAATAATTCTTTGCCTCTGTTGCTGCTTTTGGAATTAATTAGCGTGCTGAAGAATGAGAAGGGACATGGCCACCTGTTAGGGGCAGACGCAGGAGGAGGAGGACAGAGATGGAGAAATAAAAACCCAGCTTTTCTTTTTCTCCCGGCGGAGTAGGTACCAAAAAGTCCTTGGGCTCCCTGGCAGGGTGCTGTCCTCAGTGGGCTTTGAGAAGTAAGGGTGGGCACAGGAAGTCCAGGGGCACAGGTGGGTGCAGAGTGATGGGAGAAATTCTTGAACTTTTCAAGAAAGCAGCACTGGGAGTCTCCGAAAGGAGAGATGAATCAGCCCTTTCAGGGAAGGGCTCAATAAAATCTACAACAGGACGCCGAAACAGCTTGTTCCAAGGGAAGCTTCTCGGAGCTGCTGGAGCTTTGTTGCTCAGAGTGTTAACCTCTGCTGTCACATAGAGGAAGCAGTGTATCTAGGGGCAGCCAGAAAGTCTGTGTTGATTCTCTCCAATGTGTTCCTCCCCTCTGTCCCTGTACCCGCTCCAAGCATCCCCCAAAGGATTTCCAGCCCTGCAGAGGAGGAGCCAGAAACTGGTACAAAGTGTCTGAAGCAGAGGCAAACCCACCAGCATCCCTCTTTTCTCTCTCCGCTTTGCATTGCTTGCTGTCTACCCAGGCTGCTAAATTCCCTCTGCCGAATTCTCCAGCTCCTCCTGTGTCTTGGGCTCCTCTTGTCTCCTCTCCGTGGGCTGATGGTTCATGGTCACTCTGCCAGCCATGGCTGCATCCCTGCTCTCTTAGAGCAAGAAGAGTCGGTTGGCCCACATTGCCTTTTCCAAGTTCACAGCTCGTCTGGCCTGGGAGGAGGTGGAGTGTTGCAGCCTCTGCTCAACCACGGCTCTCTGGTTCTGCTAAAGGAAAGGATAGATTATGATTTTAGGAAATCAGCACCTTTGAGTGGGTTGGGCTGATGTGGAGGGGATCACAGGGCCAACTCTCTGTATACACGGCTCTGTGAGCCCCAAGATAACCTGACTTTCTTTAAAAACTTTGTACATAGTAGGTATATAGGAAACATTTATCAATGGGTTAATTCAGAACATTTTTAATTATTGAAGTGAGTGCAAATATCACAAGGATGTGTCACAATGGAGAGAGAAAGAGAGAGAGATGACTTGTTTATTCTTCCTGGAACTTCTTTCTAAAAAATAATGAGTCAGGACTCTATATTATAAACTAAGAGAATTCCAAAGGAGTCAGTCTGCACAGCTCCTAATTGGCTGAGGTGAAAGCAAATTATTCAAGGAAATGTAAAGGAAAGTGGTCAGCGTGCCCGGACTCTCCAGAAAAGGAAAAATAACCAGTTGATTTTCTTCCCTTTTCTGCTTTTAAAATGTACTGAAGTTCAGTTTTATATTAATGTTCACCAGAATAGACACCTCTGGGCAGAGAGTGGGATTATAATGGGTCAGCCTTATATAGCTTCTTCTGAACCTTCTATTCTTCAGCAAATCTCACATCCAACTCACAGGATGCTGAAAATCTTCCCTCTGGGTCCTGAGTTCTAATCAGCAGTTTTCCATGGAGCCAGGCCCAGTGTCTCTCACCTTTCTCACCTGCTCTCTTCACCAGCTGCTCACACTGCACTGGCTGCCTTTGCTTTGGATTCTTTTTTTTTTTTTTTTCCTGTACCTGGAATCGAACTCACGACCTCGCGCTTGCCAGGCAGGCGCTGTGCCGCTGAGCTAAATCCCCAGGCCCTGCTTTGGATTTCTAAATGAGAGTGGGCGGCCCTTGGGAAGAAGCGGCCCACCTAGGTGTGGGGACAGAGCAGCAGAGCCAGAACTCACCTCCAGGCCTCTTGTGACCCCTGGAGCTGGATTTCCCTGCCTCACACACCCTACAAACCTCCACAGGGCTCTGCAGCACATCCCAGCCCACTGCTTACACACACCCTGAGCACGGATCCTCTTCTGTCTGTATCCAGAGATCGGCTCTGAGCGCTCAGCCTCAGCAGTCAGGAAGCGAGGTTCTGCGCTCCAGCTGCCATCTCCAGCCACCATGCACCCTCTAGGGTGGCTTGACACTGACCTTTGCCCCCTGTCCTTTGAGTTGAGGAGCTGAGGCTGAAGGAATGCAGCACC